CGTAACGATGAGTTCAGTTTCAGCTGGTTGAGTCTGATAATTCAAGGTGAATTTAGTGAATATCCATAAAGTGTTAACTTGTTATTGGTCAGTAATCTGACTTGATGCTCCCAAGTTTAACGAGTGCAAATAATAAAAGTGTAGTACGTTAGGCTGATGGGTAGCTCTAAATTGTATTTAGGTGTGAGTGAGAGAGTGAATGGTTGTTTGTCTCTATGTGTCCTTGTGATGGACTGGAGACTTGTCCAGGTGTCCCTGTGGTGGACTGGAGACCTGTCCAGTGTGTCCCCGTCTCTCGCCTTGTGACCACAGACATCGTCTCCCTGGGACGCACCGAGGAGAAGCAGGTGAAGGAATTAAATGGATGGATAACGTAGTTGTTTTACTGAAATCCCCAAAACAAGATTGTGTTCGGTCTCTTGAAACGTTGCACAGTCTCGTGCGATCATTCAAAGTATGTGTTGAGCATGACTGTCAGCTACTACCACACCACGTCATAGCTCAGTGTTTGTAAAACTCAGCTGTGTCCGTTGTTTGGGCTGGATGGATCTGAGATGAACCGAACCCTGCACACCTGAACTGAATGAGACTTTTTTTTAACATCATTTTGGAGTCAAATGAGTTTTTATTCATAAAAAATCCTGTTAAAAGTTTTAAACTTTTCTAAACTTGTTTCTGTGAATATCAAAGCTGAGCTGTACTTGATGATCGTTGTAGTTTTTATTTAGCCTGTTTTGCTTCAAATGTAAAACCTTCAGCTGAAAGTCCTTGTCGCCGTGTCCTGATGAAAAGATGCGTGTCTCTGGTCAGAAGAGGAGCCTGTCAGCGTCTCTGATTAATGGCCCTGCTGCAGCGGGTCCGGTGGTTCGAGCTCCGTGTATCTCTCAGGGTCCACACAGGCTGGCTCTTTGTTCTGATGGGAAACGGTGTCAGGCGCCCAGGAACGATAAAAGATTTACTGTCATCACGGCCACATTACAGCGCACAAACACGCACATTGATTTCTGCGGGAGCGCCAAGAAAAACCGCCACGTTTGGGGAGGAAAGTCATTCCGGGGCGGGCGGAGATATGATCAGCTGGTTTGGAGGTGGATAATGTGCAGCTCTCACAGAACGAACTCTGAAAGAAGTCAATTGTAAATATTGATTTGTGAAGTGCCAGACCCACTTGTTCAGATTATTCCTGTCATGTCATTGAGACAAACCCCCGCCCGGACAAAATAAAAAGGGGGGGGGTCTGTTTCATCAGATATCAGCTGAAATCTGCTGAGGGATGAAACCAGCTGACGTCAGATTAAGGTCACTGCAAGATAAAATCAGAAAGATTCAGTAAAAAATCCCAATATATGTTTCAGATTCTCCAATTTAATTTGTCTTTTTACTGCTGATAAGTCCACAATATTTCACTTTTTGTCTTGTAAATTAATTAGTTAAAAACTTTTATCTGTGCAATCATCTCAGAGCTCACTGAACAAAAGCAACTGAAGAAATCACATTTTCTCTGAAGGTGCAGCGAGAACTTTAATGAAGTTTGTGCAGGAAGTTGAGAAAAATCTGAACGTTTGAATGTTTGAAGAAAAAGACACAAAGAGCTGAAAAATTAAGAAGCAGGAGACAAAAAGGACAACACAAAAATAAACACGTGGAGGCAAACGGGTGTGTAAGGACTTAAATAAGACACCAGAGACAAAAAGGACAAAATAAATAAAAAACATTATAAAAAGAGACAAAAGCATGTAAGAAGACAGTAGTTCACCTCGTTTATGCACGAGACTAAATGGACATGAAGACAAACGGGTAAAGAGGACACAAGGAAGACAAATGGACATAGAGTCAAAAAGGACTCATAAATTGTAAAAATGGTCTCAAAGAACATTAAAGGACGCACGAGGACTTCAAAAAGAAACTTCCACTATGTCTACGATGAAATGGATGGAGACGAAACTAAAACGCTCAGTAAAGAGGATTTGAAAATATCTTCTTGCTTCTGGTGAGACAAATCCTCCAGAAGAAAGAATAAAAAGAATCGATGTCGTTTTGTTCCAAACATGGTAACATTAATGTTTTGATTTAATTTGTGGATTTATTTGTATTTTTTATTTTAGCAGATTTTGTTGCTTTAAGATTTTTCATGTAGAAGATTCAGTTTATGAGATGGACTGTTGAACTCACTGGAACTGAACATAGACTCTCACTAGAGGGCAGTGCACGCCTATGAAGAGGGCAGTGCACGCCTATGAAGA